GAGAGGAATATAACTAATCTATTATTGGAAAAGTACTGGAGAAATAAGTGGTTCATGTGTGGAATGAACGTCCAGAGGAAGTGATGGATACAGGCACATTACAACATTTAAAAGACATTTGGATAAGTACATGAATAAGAAATGTTGAGAGGGATATGAGCCAAGCGCAGGCAGGTGAGACTAGTTTAGTTTGGGATTATGGTTGGCATGGACTGGTTGGACCGAAGGGTCTGTTTTTGTGGTGTATGACTCTATAATAGGACTAAAATTGACAAATCACATGATCCTGATGGCTCCCTAGTATTCCAAAAGAATTGGCAACAGAGATTGTGGATCCATTGTAGTGTTCAATTATGGTAGTACTGAATGGCAGAGCAGGCTCAATGTTCCCTGTTCCTAGCAGTTGTAATCTTCCAAAATTCTCCAGTGGTCCCACAGAACTGGAAGGTAGCATATGTATTCGCACAATGCAGAAGAAAGGGAGAAGAGAGAAAACAAGGAATAGGTGACTTGACATCAGTTGTGAAGAATACACTGGAATCCCTCATTCTCAACTCCACCTTTCTATATTACCCCACATGCTTTTGAATTTCTTACTAATTAAAACAAACTCAGCCTTGATTACACTTAATGAACCAACCTAAGCAGTAACAAATTCCACAGATTGACTACACTCTGAGGGAAAAAAAAATCCTCCTCATCTCTGTGTTAAATGGGCAGCCCCTTACTCAGAGATTATGCGCTCTAGTCCTAGAGTTTCCCACAAGAGGAAACAACCTCCCCACATCCACCTTATCAACCCACCTAAGAATCTAAGGTCACCTCACATTTTATAAGCGCAATCGACTCAACTTCTCCTTGGAAGAAAATCTCTCCATACCTGGGATTAACAAACTGAACCTTGCTTCCAATGCCAGTATCGTTCCTTAGATATGGGGACCAAAACTGCTCATTGTGCTCCAGGTGTTGGTCTAATTCGGGTCTTGTGTTATTTTAACAAGATTTCCCTATTTAATATTATTTATGATAATACTCCAATCCTTTTGAAATAAATGTCAATATTCCAATTGCCTTCCTAGTAACTGCTGAATTTGGATGCTGGCTCTTCGTGATTTATACACGAGGACTCCCAAATCTCTCCATGCTGTGGTTTTCTGCAGTCTTTCTCCTCTTAAGTAAAATTCAGCTGCTCGATTCTACCTCCCAATACACATAATTTCATGTTTTCTCACATTATATTCCATCTACCACGTTTTTGCCCACTCAGTCTACCAATATTTACAGTAAATAACTGTGACACAAGCACTGATCCCTGTGGCACTCCACTAGTCACAGGTTCCACCCTGAAAATGCTCTACTTATCCCAACTCTCTGTCTTCTATTAATTAGCCAATCCTTAATCCCCAACACTGAGAGCTCTCCAAATATATTGCATCTGCTGCCTCTCTTTATCTTGCTTGTTACCTCCTCAAAGAATTCTAATAAATTTGTAAGGCATGATTTTCCCTTCAGGAAGCAATGCTGACTGTGCTAAATGCTCTGCTATTACATCCTTTTTAATAGATTAACATTTCCCAAAAGCAGATGTTCAGCTCTTTCCCTTTTTAAATAATTGGCAGTTTTCCAGTCTTCTGAGGCTTTTCCAGAATCTAAGGATTCTTGCAAGATTATTACCAGTGCATCCACTATTTTTGTACTTACTTCTTTTAACACCATTGATGCATTCCATCAGGTCCAGGTTATTTGTTGGTTTTAGTCCCATCAGTTTTCCTCAGTACATTTTCCTCAGTGATAGTTATTGTATTTATTTTCTATCCAACTTTTGCTTCTTAATGATTTATTATTTTTTGGAATGCTATTAGTGTCTCCAGTCATGAAGATTGATGCAAAGTATTTATTCAAATCCTCCCAGTATTATTTCCGCAGTCCCATTCTCTGAGGGGCCTAAGGTGTATGGAAAGCGAGCAGCCGCCACAGCAAGAAATCAGAAGGCAAATGGCTTGTTGGCCTTTATTGCAAGAGACTTGGTGCAGAAGAATCAGGAAGTCTTGTTACAGTTCAACAAGAGCTCTGAAGAGACCATACCAAGAGTGTGCAGTTTTGGTTTCTATTTTCAGGGAATACTTGTCTTGCAGATGGCACAGTGTAAGCTAATGAGATTGATTGCTCAGAGATAATAAGGGTGACCTATAATGAAAGGTTAACTAGAACTGGCCAATACTCTCCAGGTCTATAAGAATGAGAGGTGATCTCATCCAAACCTGGCTGTTACCCCCAGCTAGAGGAACAAGCTGACAGTTTTAAAAATATATTTCTAAACAACCTGTTCAGAGATAATATTACACACCTCTGAAGCAGGTGGGACTTGAACCCAAGTCTTGAACCCAAGGTGAGACTTGAACTGGGAGTCACAGTGTAGGGATAATGACTGAAATGAGAAGAAATTTATTCATTCAGCGGTTTGTGAATCATTGAAATTCTGTACCCCAGAGAGGTGCGGATGCTCACAGTCACTGAGTGTGTTCAACGCTGAGGATGACAGATTTCTGATCTCTCAGGGAGTCAAGGGATTGGGTAGGAAAGTGCAGTTGATGTAGAAGATCAGCCAATGATTGTATTGAGTGGTGCAGTGACTCGAGAAAGTACATAGTCTGCTCCTGCTTCCATTTCTTATGTTGTTACGGGAGTCACTCAAGTAACATGATCTGAAGAAGTCTTACCAGACTTGAAATGTTAACTCTGTTTCTCTCTGCACAGATGCTGCCAAACCTGCTGAGTTCCTCCAGAATTCTCTGTATTGGCTTTTAAGCAATGTGATTTTCTGTCTTTAACTTTCTTTCTTCATGGAGAGGGGGTGGCTTATTGGTAATATCACTGGCCAATGTTCTGGGGACATGGATTTAAATTTCATCACAGGCAGATGGTCCAATAGGAATTTAAGAGGAAAGAGCCAGCCTAATAGTAATCATCTAACTATTGTTGTTAAAGTAAAGTCCTTGTGGTTCACTAATCTACCATCCACTCCGGTTTATATGCAACTCCAGACTCGCAGCAATGTGGTTGACTGGTAACAATTTGGGCTGAGCAATAAATGCTGGTCTAGCGAGCAACACACACATCCAATGAACAAAACTGTGAGAGCTCTTGTGGTAGTATCTCTACCTTTGAGCCAGGAGGCCTGGGTTCAAGTCCCATCTACTCCAGAGGTGTGTAATAACATCTCTGAACAGGTTGTTTAGAAATATATTTTAAAAACTGTCAGCTTGCCTCCAGTGGCGCTCAGTGCTCCATAAACTTGATCGTTCAATACTGATACCAAATGAACTGGTCTCTTTTCTCAACCTTTCTGAATCAATAACAGACTGTAGTCTGCATAGCAAAAAACCAAAAGAACTGCATATGCTGGAAGTTAGAAACAAAATCAGAAATTGCTGGGGACAAACTCAGCAGGTCTGGCAGCATCTGTGGACAGAAAGCAGAGTTAACTTTTTGGATCCATTGATTCAGAACAGTCGGTGTAGCAATCCAATAGATTAATCCCTAAATCCAACATTTAAAAAGTTCAATGACAGAATTTCAAAAAGCAATCTGGATATTTAATTTTAAAATATTCCTAGCTGCTTATTGATTTCTACAAATAGAATATTCAAAGGTCAAGATTTGTTTTACTTGAGCGTTGACGTGATGTTGGATAAACAATCTGATAATTCAGCAACAGTGGAGGAGTTGAGAGAAGTGGTGGTGAGGTAGAGAAGGGTAAATGTAAATACTAAGGCTGTGTGCTTTCAGATAGTGTCAAATAGGGGAAGCAAGCAGATGAGAAGCAGAAGGTGGCTACGGAAGATTCTTGGGGAACATCACAGGCAACAATTTGGGAGCAGGAAGAGAACATGATTCTCTGGCTATGATTTCATAAATGAGAAGGTAAGAGCAATTCAGTCAGCTGGACAAGAGTGGAGAGAGGTCAAAGCAGGATGGTGGGGCCACTGTGTCAAAGGCAGCAGATGACTCGAGATGGTCAAAGAGGGCAAGTTTACCTCTCGTTACCTCGGCTGCACAGGATCTCACTAGTTTACTATGGTAGGAGTGGAAAACTGTTCTTTTAGAATTTATTCACAAAATTGTTATGGTACAGAAGGTGGCCATTTGGACCATCATGTCTACACCTGTTCTATTACATCGAGCCAATCTCCTGCCTCTTCCCCACATCCCTCACACTATTTCCATCCAAATAATCACCCCTTCAAGGGACGTGGGCATCACTGGCTGGGACATACAGTCATACAGCACAGAGCAGACCCTTCGGCCCAACTTGTCCATGCCAATGAGGTTTCCAAAACTGAATTAATCTCATTTGCCCATGTTTGACCCACATCCTTCTCAACCTTTCCTATCCATGTAACCTGTCCAAATGTTTTTTCAATGTTGTAATTGTACCAGCCCCTACCACTTCCTCTGGCAGCTTGTTCCACGCACGCACCTCCCTCTGCACGAAAAAGTTGCCCCTCAGGTCCCTTTGCAATCGTTCCCCTCTCATCTTAACCCTGTGCCCTCTAGTTCAGGACTCCCCTTGGCCTGGGGCAAAAGACCTGGGAGAAGATGGAGGTGAGCCTTGTGGGAGATTGAAGGGGGACGGCGAAGATTGGGCAGGAGGCGATGAAAACCCATTAAGGACATTGTGAGGCTGAGGGAAGGGGCGAGAGTTGACAAAGACTGGATGAGCTTGTTGAATTGGAGGTGGCACAGGGGTGATGAGGGCAGACTGAAAGGAGAGACAGAGGGGAACAGTCTCTGAGAGGTAGGGGTTCCGTCTAACGATGCCAGTTCACAAGGGGAGAGACAGGAACACCCCAGCTGTCACACTCTGGAGCTGGATAAAAGGCCTCGGGCATATCCCGGAGCCTCAATCCGCAGTGAGCAGAGCCCGGGTGTAACCGTAGAGAGAGAGAGAGAGCCGCAGTCCCTACCCGCTCAGCCCCGGGGTAACAGTCCCCACTTACAGACAATCCCGGGCCGGATCCTCTGCTCAGTGTAATATGTGTGCTCTCCCTTCTGATGACTACTCGCTGCTCCTGATGCTGCGGAATAATTTTCATCCACATTGATGTGGAATCTGGGAATCATCCCAATAAAACACCCAGAGCTGATGCTCAAGCTGTGGAACCCACGATTTGTGCCAGGCATCTGGAATTTATTTCAGCAAGTTCCTTCCAAATAAACCAAATAAATGTTACAAAAAGAAAGAAATCCGAAAGGAGTTTTGTAATAAATGTTTTTGCCTTCCCCACATTCCCATCCCCCTACTCTGACACCACACCAATTCTTATGGGAGATCTCACAATATTTTTGACTGAACTCACCAATATCTGGAGACTAATTGGTCTCCTGCTCCCGAAATCTGCTGCCCATGCTCAGATAAAAAGGTCGACAAATGATTATTGGTCCGGTCATCTCATTCCAACCGTCCCCCAGTGATTGAGTAACTCAGCAGCAAGATTACAACAACAGCTTCATTTAAATAGCACCTTTGGGTCATAATACATTCCCCAGGCACTTTGCAAAAGCATTGATGAACATAACTCGATAGAGAAGGAGATATTAGGTCAGAGGACACAAAGTTTGGTCAAACAGGGACATTTCAAGGAGCCACTTGAAGAAGTGAGAGCCAGAGAGGCTTAGGGAGGGGATTTTAGATTCTAAAATTGAGGCATTGATTAATCAGAAGCCAAAGTGACTCAGTGAGCACAGGGGGTAGGTGAAAGCGAGTACAGTCACAGAGATCTACAACCCAGAAAAAGGCTGTCCAGCCCATCACATCCTTTCCGGATCAAAAACAGCCACTTCAACTGTTCTGTTCCATTTTCCAGCACACAGTGCAAAGCCTTGCATGCATTGGCATCACAAGTACATATCTATATACTTCTTAAATGTCATGAGGGTTTCTGCCCCAGCCACTCTTCCAGGCAGTGAGCTTCAGTTTCCCACCACCTTCAGGATGAATTGGTGCAGGTTAACACATTTTTTTGTCGGCAACAAATTTTATGGAATGTGGAGGCTGGAGTACATCAGAAAACTCATGCCTAGTGATATCAAAAACATGAATGAGGGCTTCAGCAGCAGAAAATTGCCGTAACAATAACAATTTGGTTAGCAGCAGACATTATGCATTCAGTTGGTGGAGACCATCCCTCATTTGAGAAAGTGGCATCCTCACTTAACTGTGGAGAACCCAGAAGTGACAAACCAGAGCTTCCGAAGAATGTTTGACAAAGTTCCATTGGACAGGTTGTAACTTAAACCCATTTTCAAGGGGATAGTGGCAACATCATCAAGGCAATAGATAGGGACTGGAAAAGGCCATTCAGCCTCTCGAGCTTATTTCATCATTCAGTTACGTTATGGTTGATTGGTGCTTAATTTCCACCCACCTGCCCTGGTGCCATATCACCTAAAAGTTTTTACCTGTCCTACAGCCATAGCTGCTTTTTGAGGGAGAGTGATCCAGATTTCCCCCTCACTTTGTATTAAGTGGGTGGCACAGTGGTTCAGTGGTTAGCACTGCTGCCTCACAGCGCCAGGAACCTGGGTTTGATTCCAGCCTCAGTCGACTATCTGGGTAGAGATTGCACATTCTCCCCGTGTCTGTGTGGGTTTCCTCCAGGTGCTCAGGTTTCAGCCCACAGTCCAAAGATGTGCAGGTTAGGTGAATCAGCCATGGGAAATTGCCTATAGTGTCCAGGGATGTGTAGGCTAAGTGGATTAGCCATGGGAAATGCAGGGTTACAGGGATAGAGTAGGTATCTTGGAGGGATAGTGATGGCCTAGTGGTATTATTGCCGGACTGTTAATCCAGAGACCCAGATCATGTTCTGCGGACCCGGGTTGAAATCCTGCCATGGCAGATGGTGATATTTGAATTTAATTAAAAAAAAATCTGGAATTAAGAATCTAATGAGACCATGAACCCATGGTCAATTGTTGGAAAAACCCATCTGGTTCACTAATGTCCTTTAGGGAAGGCAACTGCCACCCTTACCTGCTCTGACCTACATGTGACTCCAGACTCACAACAATGTGGTTGACTCTTAACTGTCCTCTGGGCAATTATGAATGGGCAATAAATGCTGCCTAGCCAGCAACACCCTCATCCCGTGAATGAATAAAGGAAAAAAAAAATGCTCTTTGGAGGGTTGGTGTGTACTCAGTGGGCCAAATGGCCTGCTTCTACACTAGGGATTCTATGATTCTATGAAGTGGTGCTTACACACAACACATTACAGCAACCGAACTTTAATGATCCCACATTCTCAACTCAGGGCAGGCAATGGCCTAGTGGTATTGTACTGGGCTACTAATCCAAAAACCCACTTAACATTATTGGGTTCAATCCCACTATAATAGCTGGTAAAATTTGAATTCAATATGAATCTGGCATAAACAGTCTAAATATGGCCATGAAACCAATGTTGATTATAATTTTTTTTGTAAAAAATCTATCCGGTTCGATAATGCTCTTAATTAACTCTCTGGCCTGGCCCATATGTGATTCCAGATGCAGAGCAAAGTGATTGACTCTTAGCTGCCCTCTGAAATGGCTGAACAAGTCATACAGTTGTATAAACCACTAGGGAGTCTGGCAGAAGGAATAAAACTGGATGGACTGCCTGGTATCGACTTAGGGACTGGAAACATTAATGGCAAAAAGAGCACTGTTGACCCTGCAAAGTCCTCTATATTAACATCTGAGGGGCTATTGCCAAAATTGGGACAGCTGTCTCACAAATTAGTAAAGCAACAGCTTAACATAGTCATACTCATGAAATCATATGTGATCTCCCAGACAACTCCATCACCATCCCTGGATATGTCCTGTCCTACCAGCAGGACAGGGTGGCACAGTGGCTCAGTGGTTAGCACTGCTACCTCACAGTGCCAGGGACCCGGGTTTGATTCCACTCTTGTGTGACTGTCTGTGTGTAGTTGGTATATTCGCCCTGTGTCTGCATGGGTTTCCCCTGGGTGTTCTGGTTTCCTCCTACAATCCAAAGATGTGCAGGTAAGGGTGAATTGGCTATGCTAAATTGCTGATAGTGCCCAGGGCTGTGTAGGTTCGGTAGATTGGCCAGGGTAACTGCAGGGTTAGGGTTAGGGTTAGGGTTAGGGGCTGGGTGTGGGTGGGATGCTCTTTGGACGGTTGGTGTGGACTCGTTGGGCCAAATGGCCTCTTTCCACACTGTAGGGAATCTATGACCCTGCAGAGGTGGTGGCATAACGGTAGACAAGGGAGTTGTCCTTGGAGTCCTAAACATTGACCCTGGATCCCATTCAATCTCAAGGCACCAGGTCAAAGATGAGTAAGGAAATTTCTTGCTGATTATGACATACTGCCTCCATCCCTCAGCTGATGAATCAAGCACTCCTCCACTTTGAACAACACTTGGAGGAAGCACTGAGGACAGCAAAGGCATAGAATATACTCTGAGCAGGACTCTTCAGTGTCCATCACCAAAAGTAGTTCAGCAACATCACTATTGATCAAGTCCATCAGGTCCTAAAGGACATAAATGCTAGACTGGGTCTGTGACAAGTGGTGAGGGGACCAAGAGGGAATGCTATCCTTCACCTTATCTTCACTAATCTGTCTGGCATAGGTGCACCTCCCTATGATAGTAATGATAAGACCAACCAGCAAGCTCTGCAGTCCTGCCACATCCAGTCATGAATGGTGGTGGACAAGTCAACAACTCATTGGTGAAGGAGGCCCCACAAACATCTCCATCCTCAATAATGGGTAAGCTCAGCCATACAGTGCAAAAGTAAGGCTGAAGCATTTCCATGAATCCCTCAGCCAGAAGTGCTGAGTGGATGATCCATCTCAGCCTCCTCCAGCATCATAGACGCTAGTCTTCAACCAATTCAATTTATTCCACGTGATCTCAAGTATCGACTGAAGGCAATGGATACTGCAAAGATTATGGGTCCTGACAACATTCTGGCAGTAGCAATGAAGTTTGGTTCTCCAGAACTTGTTGTGCCCCTAGCCAGGCTGTTCCAGTACAGTTACAACACTCCACAACGATGTGGAAAATTGTCCAGGTATGTCTCATACATAAAAAGCAGAATAAATCCAACCCAGCTGATTACCATCCCATCAGTCCACTCTCAATTCTCAATAAAGTGATGGAAGGCATCAACAGTGCTATCAAGCAACACCTGATCAGCAATAACCTGCTCAGTGATACCCCGTTTGGGATCTGCCAGGGCCACTCAACTCCTGACCTCATTACAGCTTTGGTTCAAACATGGATAAAACAGCTGAATTCCAGAGATGAGGTGGGAGAGACTGCCCTTAACATCAAGGTTGCATTTGATTGAATTGTTATCAAAAAGCCCTAGCAAAACTAGAGTTGCTGGAAATCAGACAGAAATCTTTCTGTCGGTTGGAGTCATACCTGGCACAAAGGAAGATGGTTATGGTTGTTGGGGGTCAGCCATCTCAGCTACAGGACATCTCTGCAGGAGTTCGTCAGGATAGTGTCCTCAGCCCAATCATCAGCCGCTTCCTCAATGACCTTCCTTCAATTATAAGGTCAGAAGTGAGGAAGTTCGCCGATGATTGTACATTGTTCATTACCCTTTATGACACTTCAGATTCTGAAGCAGTCCATGTACAAATGCTACAAGACCTGGACAATATCCAGGCTTGGGTTAACAAGTGGCAAGTAATATTCATGCCACAGAAGATCCAGGCAATAGCTATCTGCAATGAGAGAGAATTTAATCATTGCACCTTGAAATTCAATATCATAACTGTCACTGAATCTATTCTATCAACAGCTTAGTGGTTGCTATTGATCAGAAACTGAAGTGGGCTAGCCATATAAATACTGTGACTACAAGATCAGGTCAGAGGGTAGGATTTCTGCAATGAATAACTCACTTCCTGACTCGCAAAGTCCTGTCCAGCATTTACAAGTCACAAGACAGGAGTGCGATGGAATGCTCCCCAACTACCTGAATGGGTGCAGCTCCAAGGACACTCAAGAAATTTGACTCCATCCAGGGCAAAGCAGCCCATTTGACTGGCACTACATTCACAAGCTGCCACTCCCTCCACCACCGACACCCACC